GAGGGGAGTGGGCGTGGCCGTGTAACTCTGGGTGGGGTCAGATGGGAGGGGCGGGCCCTGGGAGGGCCATTCGCAGCCCTTTCCCCGCCCACTGTTTCCTCTCCATTCCTAGGTCCTGCGGACCCCACACCCCGTCCCAGCTGGACTCAGTTGGCTGACCTCGCCCCAGGGGCTGCTCATGATTTGGAAGTTGTCATTGATGAGGCGGATAATGGTGAGCAGACGCTCATCATCGTAGTCGAAGCGGCTGCCGAAGAGCACGGAACAGATAATGTTGGACACTGAGCGACTCAGCACAAACGTGGGGTCAAAGGGCTCGCCTGAGGGTGGGGAATGGAATGGATCAGGAAGACGCGATGTGCAGCACACCAGACCTCATGCAGCAACACCATTAATGTGCACAACATCCGACTCAACCATGGCAACCTGTCTTGCGGTGCAGAGCACAGGCACATGGTCACAACATGCTGCTTAACAACACCCCAAAAGCATGTGTCAATGCCACAGACAGCACAGAACCCACAACTTCCTGCAGCACATCGACAGCAACAATACCCAACCACAGAACCCGCTATTCTTGGCAACACAACACACAGCACGCAACATAGCACAAGGCAATCACAGGGCAACAGGACACCCAGCAAATACGATCACAGTAGATGCCAACACAGGACACTCCGTGACCTAACAACCAGCCCGGAAACATCCCAAGACATGGTAACCACACACCAACACATAATGCCAGCATACAGCTCCATAATCCTGCCACACAACACACACTAGTACACAGCAACCCAGCAGACAGCACCCAACACACGATGTGACATCACAACACGTACAATCACGGCAGCAGAACAAAGGACACACTATGCAGCAACGCAACAACGTTGGCAGCCAGCAGATGACACAATGCAAAACCACATGCAGCGCCTGACAACTCTACGATCTCACCCAGAAATAACACAACACCTAGCATCTGGCCGTCCAACAGCTGAACAGACCATAGTAAATACTGAATAACACATTTCTTTCTTTTTTTTTGAGACGAAGTCTGGCTCCGTCGCCCACGCTGGAGTGCAGTGGCACGATCTCGGCTCACTGCAACCTCTGCCTCCCGGGTTCAAGCAATTCTCCTACCTCAGCCTCCCAAGGAGCTGAGATCACACCCGGCTAATTTTTTTTTGTATTTTTGGTGGAGAAGGGGTTTCTGCATGTTGGCCAGGCTGATCTTGAACTCCTGACCTCAAGTGATCTGCCCACCTCGGTTTCCCAAAGTGCTAGGATTATAGGCGTGAGCCACCATGCCCAGGCAAAACAACACATTTCAGCACAGCACCCAGGACACAATAGCACAGCCCAGAAAACCAGATCTGGAGTTAGATGGACGCGGTTTGAATCCTCTTTGGCCTTTTAGTCTTGGTGTGACTTGGGCAAACTGACTTCCTTTCTCTGAGCCTCAGTTTTCTCACCTGTAAAATGGGTCTGATGGCACTTCTCTCATCATGGGGCTGCTATAAGGAGTCAGTGAGTGTGTGACTGGGAGTCAGTGAAGGGCCTGACCCAGTGCGAGGCTGTCACAGATCACGGTGTCATGGCAGGCTGTGATGGCTCCCAAAGATGTCCATGTCCTTATGCTTACAACCTGTGAATTCGTTCCCTTACGTGGTAAAAAGGACTTTGCAGGTGGGATTAAGTTGAGGATTCTGAGACAAGAAGTTTGCTCTAGACTATCTGGCTGGGCCTAATGTAATCACTGGGATCCTTTTTAGAGGGAGGCAGGAGGGACCGAGTAAGAAAAGGTAATGTAGGCTGGGTGTGGTGGCTCACACCTGTAATCCCAGAATATATTGGGAGGC